TCAATGGATCATTATTTATACCTAAAACTAATACGTTTGCGGTGATTTAATGAATTTAGCGTTTCCAAGATTTCCAGAGGACTTCACCATTGAAATTCACCAGAGCTATAGTGAAACTGACAATGCCCACGTGCATGGCAGCTGGATGCTGGAATACATCGGGTAAAAGTGAAAAAAGAGTTATTCCACCTTTCTGATTCCTGATCCTCCACGGACGGGTTGGTCGCACATTGAAATGAAAATTGCTCTGAATTAAAAACACTGATCATTTATTGAACAGTATTAATAATTTTATATTTAAAGAACTTTCAGAAGTTTAAATTCTGAATATAACCGGACTTCTCCTTTAAGGTGACCCTTCGCCCCTCAGAGTATTCTGTTTATTCCCAGTTTAGCTTTCCTCCCCTGTTGTACAGCTGGGTCGGTTTCATCAGGACAGTGTTTGCCATCAGACATAATAGTGTTTACCACGTTTGCCGATTATTTCAGTTCAAGCTTGTTGTGACCAGAGAATCTTATTCCACACATTTTGTGTTCATTGTTTCTTGGCTGGGACCAAAATATCTCTTAAGGCTCTTTTTCAATGGCGGCTTTCTGCCCAAACCTGCATAAATCTTGGGTTTATGTAGGAGTTTAAAACGTCTGTTATCTTTTCAGCGTGATCTCCTCCCCTGGCTGTGCATCTCTGCACCTCCTCCATGCTTATGAAGACTTCTCTGTTTAATGTTCTTTTGCCCACCTTGTTAATTCAGGTTAAAATAAGCTACTCTTTGATTGTGCCATAATTTTGTATCAAACTTCAGGAGGCGTGTAAAATCCTGGGACGTTGTACAATAACTCCTACAGTATTCAATCCAAACCTGTTCCGTGTTCCTTTGGTCTTCACTGGCCTCTTTTTTTTCTCATAAAAAGGACAGTTGGGATCTCTAATATTTTGGTCCTCAGTTGCATTTTATTTTGTAACATCAAGATATATTTGGGCTAAATGGCACTGAAAAAAACAGATTTAAAACCTTAAATCATTTTTTTCTGAAGCTCACAACTGTGAACCACTTAATGAAACGGTGAACGTTGGAGCAGGACGAGATCAAAAGGTGTGAATCAAGGGTGTAACTTTCTAATGAAAGTGTGTGGGGGCGCTCTAAGGGTGGGGGCTGGTTGACCTACGGTTACTCCACACAAACACTTTCATTAGGTTTTTGCATTTTCCAAAAATGAACTCAAACATTTATTTATTGAATGCTTTCCTATTGTTGAAAACACAAGAGAAGCACAATACACTGATATTTATATTTATAGATAATTAGAGAGATGCCTTTTATCGTATCGTGTATATTAGGGATGCACGATATTGGGATTTTGGCCGATATCCGATATGCCGATATTTTAAAACTCATGTAGCCGATAACCGATATCGATACCGATGTTAAAGCTGGACAAAAATAAGTATTCATTGAAAATAGCAGTTTTGTTATCCATTTCTGACACTTTAAAACGCGGTATCGATCTATTTTACTTTCAAAATCTGGTGAAATTTCATCGTTCTGTTACAA